TTGTTTTTATTTTTATTTATTTTGTTTGCAGTAAATTCTCGTTATTCTTCATATTGAGTTTTGAGTTCGCTCGTAGGTAAATAAATTCTCCGTGACATTTATAGGGAGAGGTGAGAATGCCTGTCTTCTGTTGTTGGCGGAGTTTTTGGTCTGGTCCATGTTCCTTCCTTCGTTACATCCCCCCCCTCCCTCATCCTCTTCCACCCCTATCCCATCCACTCTCATCCTGTTCTTCCCACCCCTCCATCACCTCTCTCTGCCCTATTACCCCTTCCCATCCCCTTCCCTCATTTCCACTCCCTCCACCTTCCGATCCTCCCTCACCCTTCCGATCCCTCCCCACCCTTCCGATCCCCTCCCCTTCCCCTTCCCCTCCCCTCCCTCCCTCCTCCTCCCTCCCCCTCCCCCTCCCCTCCCCTCCCATCCCTGAGACTATAATAAACACGATTTGGGGTCTGAAGGCTGAAGCTGCTGCTGGCTTGTACAGATAACACCAAGGTGGCAGTCCACGGTGTAGGAGGGGCGGTCGGTGGGATGGGGTCAGTCCGTGTTGGGACGGATGACACACACACACACACACACACACACACACACACACACACACACACCACACACACACACACACACACACACACACACACACACACACACACACACACACACACACAGTAGGCAATGTCCTCTCCCGGTGTTGTCATGTTGGTTGTGGTATCTCCCGAGGCATCATCGTGTACAGTAAAAGACGAACAACACCATATTGTCTGTTAGGGAAAGGTGTGTGTGTGGTGTGTGTGTGTGTGTTTCTAGGATGATACTGAAAGAGTGCCTCACTACTATAATCACCATCCTATACCACCGTCGCTGCCATTACCCTACCACCCACCACCACCACACACCACAACAGTTGAGGGGAGAGCTGGTAGAAGTATTCAACAGTACAGACTTTGCTCTCTCTCTCTCTCTCTCTCTCATCATTTATAAGACAAGGCTAACACGCTCACTACACCTCTCGTTCACCACCTGTGTTCAACGTGTCTTTGTTCTGCACCACAGCCAAAATTGTCTCTCTGTCTGGGGAATCGTGTAGACCAGGTACTGTGAGTTGGCGGCCGGTGTTGATAGCTTTCAGGTGTACCTGTCTGGTGTGTGTGTTTGTGTGTGTGTGTGTTGTGTGTGTGTGTGTGTGTGTGTGTGTGTGTCGAGTCATTGATCACACCTCAGTCGTCCCAGATAAAAGCTACGGTGACGGCGTGTGTGTGGCTAAGAAAACATTACTTGTAAACTATAAACAACTGTAACTTTGTTGAAAACTATTTTGTAAACAAACGTCGGGTCGTCCTCCTCCTCCTGCCCTCCCTCGTGGTCAACCTGCTGCTGGCTCTAGTCTCTCTCTCTCTCTCTCTCTCTCTCTCTCTCTCTCTCTGTCTCTCTCTCTGTTTACTCTTGATTTTCTCCCTCGATCTGTCTGGCTCGCTCTCTGTGTGTGGAGAAAATCAAGAAAGTTTCAAGGGAAAAAATATTGTGGGGAAAAATCACGAAATTTGGGGTAAATTGTACCATGGGTGAAATTCTTTGAAATGTAGCGAAAAATGTACATGGGGAAAATGAAGGAAAATGTATACAATTAGGAAAAATTCGGGAAAATATATGAATAGGAAAAACATGAAGTTAGGGAAAAATTACAAGTTTATAGAAAATTTTGTTATTATAGAGGAAAATCAGCAAAATTTAGACGTGGGGCAGTGAAAGAACTGAGTAGGGAGAAAATCGGGAGGAGGAGATGAGGTGAAATATATCCTAGGGAAGGATTAGGGGAACTTTAAGGGAATACGATCATCTGGACAGACTAAAAACATCTGATGTGGCGAAATTAAAGTGGAAGCTTGGGAATTTGGCGAACAGGGGGTATAATGGCGAGGATGAGAATGTAGAAAGGGAAGATAATGGCGAATAATGGTATTAAAATGAAGAAAGGAAAGATTTGGCGATAGAAGAGAGATTAGAATGAAGATAACAATGAAGAAAGAGAATTACAATGAAGAAAGGTGAAGTTAACTTGATGACGAGAATATGACATGAAAAATATCCAGTGATTACAGACAGACTAGTTGTTGTTACTACCTGGGGGGTGAGCAGAGAGGAGATGAGAAAGGAAAAAAGAGGGAGAGGGAGGGACAGATTTGATGGGAGAGGAAAGAGATGATAGGGGAAGAAAGGGAAATGAGAGAGGAATATGAGAGAGAAAGGGGAGATGGAGGAGGGGAGGGATGATAGAGAGGAGATGAAACCCAGGTATGATAATTAAGTAGTAAGGTAAACAGGTGTATTATACTCAGGTAATTGCATAAATTAATTAAAAAAGGTGAACTGATGAACCTTAATAATGTAGAAAATATATTAACAGGTAAATAAGAACATGGAGGAGAAGGTGTGTGTGTGTGTGTGTGTGTGTGTGTGTGTGTGTGTGTGTGTGTGTGTGTGTGTGTGTGTGTGTGGCAATATTCTCAATTGCCTCGTGTACTAGTTATATAATACAAATGAGCTCCAGCCAAGACGAGACTCCTATTGCCACTTACCTTCGTTCCACCTCTCTGCCACTTTCCCTGCCACTACCCCCCTCATACCACTACTCCCTACCCCCATGCCACTTTCCACCACTCACTAACCCTTACTACTTACCCCACTTCACCCACCCCTGCCACTAACCCTTTACTACTCACCCCCTTCTCCTGTCTCCACACTTTTCTCCATGCCACTACCCCCACCCAATAACCTCACCACTTAACCACTTACATCCTGCCACTACCCCCACACCACTTTCCCCCACCCACTAACCATAAACCACTACCCCATGCCACTTTTCCCACCCACTTACCCCCCCTACCCCCACTCACTAACCCCTACCACTTACCCCTGCCACTTCACCCCACCCATAACCCTTTACCACTTCAATCCCTCTCAACCTGGGAATAACACGCACTGCCACACCGAGCGACTTATCTAACAGGGTGACGGAGGTGTTTACATGCCGTGTGATTTTTGTTTCAACGCTGTTTAGTACTCAGGGAGCAGGGAGACGGAGAGATAGGGAGAGATAAGAGAGAAGGAGAGGAAGAAGGAGGAAGAAGGAAGGAAGAGAGAGAGAGAGGGGGGGGGGGGGGGGGGGAAGTCATACAGAGAGAGAGGAGGGAGGGGAAGACGAAATCAAAGTGAGAGAGGGAGGAGGAGGAAATCAAAAGAGAGATAGAGAGAGAGAGAAGGAGGAAGTCAGACAGAGAAGGAGATAGAGAAAGAGAGGGGGAAGAAGGAAGTCATAGAGAAAGAAAGTCAGAGAGAGAGAGAAAAGGAGGAAGTCAGGCAGAGAGAGGCTGTTTACCTCGAACACGACAAGAGAATCAACACCTTTATCTCAGCCACTGATCTCTCTCTGATCACCCAATACCTGTCACCTCGATATAACGGACTTCTATCTATATAATCCGTTAGATGGGGCTTAATCTAACGGACCTCGATATAACGGACTTCTATCTATATAATCCGTTAGATGGGGATCATATCTAATGGACCCTCGATATAACGGACTTCTATCTACATAATCCGTTAGATGGGGCTCATATCTAACGGACCCTCGATATAACAGACTTATCTATATAATCCGTTAGATGGGGATCATATCTAACGGACCTCGATATAACGGACTTATCTATATAATCCGTTAGATGGGCTCATATCTAACGGACCTCGATATAACGGATTTCTATTCATATAATCCGTTAGATGAGGATCATATCTAACGGACCCTCGATATAACGGACTTTCATCACTATTAGTTCGTTATATGGAGGTTTTACCAGTAATATTATAAACCGGAATTAATTTAAATATCTACATAAAACATCCTCCCCCCACATACACTGGCGAACCTCTGCCTGGCGAACGAACGAACATAAACCTGGTGGGAACGATTGAGCTCTTTCATCAGGCAGCCGGAGACAGTAAGGATGGAATTCTATCTACTAACCACGATACTCAAACCAATATAATATGGAACTATGGGACTATGGTCGACCACTTTGACAGTCGGGCATCTGAGAGAAACGGGGGTGGAGGGGGAGGGGGAGGTGGTTTAGAAAGACAGATTGATAGATAGTTCGGTAGACAGATAGATAGTTCGGTAGACAGATAGATAGACAGGAAGGCAGGATTTTTGGATGGCCGAGACCAGATAAATTTCCTGTCGAATATTATTATTTTATTTCCGAAAAGGTTTGAATAGGAGAGAGAGGGGGGGGGGGGGTGTATGGGAGCCAGAGAATATGGATTCTATAAAACGTCGAGGATCCTATAGGACGCCTGGGATCCTATAGACGCCCAGGATCTTATACAACGTCGAGGATCCTATAGACGCCCAGGATCCTAGACGCCCAGGATCTTTATAAAAGTCGAGGATCCTATAGACGCCCAGGATCTTATACAACGTCGAGGATCCTATAGACGCCCAGGATCCTATAGACGTCCAGGATCCTATAGACGCCCAGGATCCTATAGACGCCCAGGATCTTATACAACGTCGAGGATCCTATAGACGCCCAGGATCCTATAGACGTCCAGGATCATACAACGTCGAGGATCCTATAGACGCCCAGGATCCTATAGACGTCCAGATCCTATAGACGCCCAGGATCCTATAGACGCCCGGGATCTTATACAACGTCGAGGATCCTATAGACGCCCAGATCCTATAGACGTCCAGGATCTATAGACGCCAGGATCCTATAGACGCCAGGATCCTATAGACGCCCAGGATCCTATAGACGCCCAGGATCCTATAGACGCCCAGGATCCTACACGTCCAGGATCCTATGGACGCCGAGGATCCTATAGACGCCCAGGATCCTATAGACGCCCAGGATCCTATAGACGCAGGATCCTGAGACGCCAAGGATCCTATAGACGTCCGGATCCTATAGACGACCAGGATCCTATGGACGCCCAGATCTATGGACGCCCAGGATCCTATACACGTCCAGGATCCGGACGCCGAGGATCCTATAGACGCCCAAGATCCTATAGACGCCCAGATCTATAGACGTCCAGGATCCTATAGACGCCCAGGATCCTATAGACGCCCAGGATCCCTATAGACGCCCAGGATCCTATAGACACCCAGAATCCTATAGACGCCCAGGATCCCATAGACGCCCAGGATCCTAAGACGCCCAGGATCCTATAGATGCCCAGGATCCTGACGTCCAGATCCTATAGATGCCCAGGATCCCATAGACGCCCAGGATCCTATAGACGCCCAGGATCCTATAGGACGTCCAGGATCCTCAGATGCCCAGGATCCTATAAATGCCCAGGATCCTATAGATGCCCAGGATCCTAGAGGCCCAGGATCCTAGGACGCCCAGGATCCTATAGACGCCCAGATCCTATAGACGTCCAGATCCTATAGATGCCCAGGATCCTATAGACGCCCAGGATCCATAGACACCAGAACTTATAGACGCAGGATCCTATAGACGCCCATCCTATAGACGCCTAGGATCCTATAGACGCCCAGGATCCTATATGACGTCCAGGATCCTATAGATGCCCAGGATCCATAGACGCCCAGATCCTATAGACGTCCAGATCCTATAGACGCCCAGGATCCTATAGACGCCCAGGATCCTATAGACGCCCAGGATCCTATAGACGTCCGGGATCCTAGACGCCCAGGATCCTATAGACGCCCAGATCCTATAGACACCCAGGATCCTATAGACGCCCAGGATCCTATAGACGCCCAGGATCCTAGTGGTGATCCTATAGACGCCCAGGACCTATAGACGCCCGGATCCTATAGAGCCAGGATCCTATGATGCCCAGGATCCTAGACGCCCAGGATCCTATAGATGCCCAGGATCCTATAGATGCCAGGATCCTATAGACGTCCAGGATCCTATAGACGTCCAGATCCTATAGACGCCCAGGATCCTATAGACGCCCAGGATCCTATAGACGCCCAGGATCCTATAGACGCCCAGGATCCTATGATGCCCAGGATCCTACAGACGTCCAGGATCCTATAGATGCCAGGATCCTATAGACGCCCAGGATCCTATAGATGCCCAGGATCCCAGAGACCCAGATCCCAGACGCCCAGGATCCTATAGACGTCAGGATCCTAGGACGCCCAGGATCCTATAGACGTCCAGGATCCATAGATGCCCAGGACCTATAGACGCCTGGGATCCTATAGACGTCCAGGATCCATAGACGCCCAGGATCCTATAGACGCCCAGGATCCTATAGACGCCCAGGATCCTAAGTAGACGTCCAGGATCCTATAGATGCCCAGGATCCTATAGACGCCAGGATCCTAGACACCCAGAATCCTATAGACGCCCAGGATCCTATAGACGCCCAGGATCCTATAGATGCCCAAGATCCTATAGACGCCCAGGATCCTATAGATGCAGGATCCTATAGACGTCCAGGATCCTAAGACCAGATCCTATAGACGTCCAGGATCCTATAGATGCCCAGGATCCTAGACGCCCAGGATCCTAAGACACCCAGAACCTATAGACGCCCAGGATCCTATAGACGCCCAGGATCCTATAGACGCCCAGGGATCCTAGACGCCCAGGGATCCTATAGACGTCCGGATCCTATAGACGCCCAGGATCCTATAGACGTCCAGGATCCTATAGGACGCCCAGGATCCTATAGACGCCCAGGATCCTATAGACGCCCGGGATCCCATAGACGTCCAGGATCCCAGATGCCCAGGATCCTGAGACGCCCAGATCCTATAGACACCCAGAATCCTATAGACGCCCAGGATCCTATAGACGCCCAGGATCCTATAGATGCCCAGGATCCTATAGACGCCCAGGATCCTATAGATGCCCAGGATCCTATAGACGTCCAGGATCCTATAGACGCCCAGGATCCTATAGACGCCCAGGATCCTATAGACGCCCAGGATCCTATAGACGCCCAGGATCCTAGACGCCCAGGATCCTATAGACGCCCGGACGTTCATCCATTATTCCTAAAGTTTCTTGGCTCGATTTTATCAGAAAGACGTCATCGTAAATTACCTTCCTCCGTTATTTGTCCAAACATCCTTCTCTTTATCTCTCTCTCTGTCTTTCTTTCTTTCTTTATCTCTTGTTCATTTTTCTGCTTGCTCTCTCTCTCTCTTCTCTTCTCTTCTTCTTCTTCTTCTCTGCTTTCCCTCCTCCGTCCGTCCACCTGACTAGAGACAGAGAAACAGTACAGTGGTCAGCCTCAATAAGCAATTAATTCATGGCAGTCAATGCTGAAAGTCTCTGTTGACAACCAACTGTGTGTAAGAGAGAGAGAGAGAGAGAGAGAGAGGAGAGAGGAGAGAGAGAGAGAGAGAATGAGAGAGATAGATAGATAGATAGATAGATAGATAGCCAGATAGATAGATAGACAACTAAACAGACAGGCAGCTAAATAGACAGACAGCTAGATAGAGACAGCTAAACAGACAGACAGACAGAGACAGCCAAACAGCCAAACAGACAGACAGACAGATAGATATGTTAGCCAACTCGCCTCCTCTCGCCCAACCATTCACAAAATTAATCTTGATTCCAAATTCAGCGCCAAACCTCAATATCTTGGCTGCTGGTGCTTCATCTCGCTTCACTTTGTCTCGTCTTGTTTCACCTTCTGTTTCGGCAATGTGTGGGTCCTGCTTCAGCTTGTGTTTCAGCTTGTTCCGTCCTGTTTCAGCTTGAGGTGACATTTTTCGTACTGTCTAAATGTGCCTATTGCAGACATTTTCCATCACACACCTACACCCTCTACACCCCCACACCTACACCCCAACACCCACACCCAACACCCCCACACCTACCCTCAACACACCTACCCCCCACACACCTACACCCCAACATCCCCACACACCCACACCCCACACCCCACACCCACACCCCACACCTCACCCCACACCTACACCCTCAACACCCCCACACCCTCCCCACACCCCCCACACACCCCACCCCAACACCCCCACCCCCACCACCCCCACCACCCCCTCCCCCACACACCCCCCACACACCCACCACCTACACCCCAACACCCCCACCTCAACACACACCTCAACCCCAACACCCTCAACACCCCCACACCCCCACACCCCACACACCCACCCCCACACACCACACACCCCACACCCACACCCCCCACACCACACCTCAACACCCACACACCCACACCCCCACACACCCCCAACACCCCACCCACCCCCAACACCCCCACACACCCACCCCAACACCCCCACACCCCCAACACCCCACACCTCCCCAACACCTCAACACCCCCCACAACACCCCACCCATTATACACCCCACCTACATCAACACTCCCACACATCCACACCCCCCACACCCCCACACCTACAACACCCCACACCTACACCTCAACACCCCACACACCTACACCCCCACACCCTCACCCCCCAACACCCCCACACCTACCCCACACCCCAACACACCCACACCCCAACACCCCCACCCCACACCCCACCACCTCAACACCCACCACCACACCCCACCCCCAACACCCCCACACCCACACCCCAACACCCCACACCCTACACCCCCACACCACACCCTCCACAACCCCACACCCAACACCCACACCCCCACACACACCCCCACACCTCAACACCCCCACACACCTCATCACACCCCCCACACCTCCCCAACACCCCCACACCTCACACCTCAACACCCCACAACACACCCACACCCCACACACACCCCTCTTTACACACCTACCTCAACACCCCCACAACACCCCAACACCCCCATGCACCCACACCTACACACCTGCCATGCACCCACACCCCAACACCTCCCCAACACCCAACCCCACACCTACACACCCCACACCCACTTACCCCAACACCCCACACACCTACAACACCCCACACACCTCACGCCCTCACACCCCACTCCCCAACACCCCCACACACCTACACCCCAACACCCCCACACCCCTCCTCCCCACCTACCCTCAACACCCCCACACACCTCACCCAACACCCCCCACACCTCAACACCCCACACACCTACCCTCAACACCCCCACACACCTACACTAACACCCCCCACACCTACACCCCAACACCCCCACACACCCACACCTCAACACCCCACACCCACACCTCAACACCCTCATCACACCTGCACCCAGCACCCCACCCCACCCCCACCCCACCCCCCACAACCCCCACACACCCCACCCCACACCCCCCACACCAAGAGGTATCATCAGTCCATCAATTTGAGGTCAAGTGACATGCCAGAAGCTTGTAATTTAAACCTGAAGTCAACAGAGTTACGGAAGGTCCCAGAAGGCCACCACCTGGCCACCTTCACCTGGCCTCCTCTGCACCTGGCCACCGTACACCTAACTCCATTCACCTCTCCCCACGTTCACCTGGCCACCTTCACTTGACCACACTTCCTAGCCCACATTCACCGACCATCTTCACTGGCCACCTCCACCTGACTTCGTTCACCTGGCCACCTTCACCTGGCCCTGGAGAAAAACCTGCGGGGTCACGAACAGGATAATGGCGGAACCAAATATTGGTTGGAGGTAACTCGCCCGGCTCGTGTTGTCCTCACTGCTCAGCTTAGGCGCCCGGAGTGGGAATGAGTGGGGAGTTGTTGGAGCAGAATTTCAAGATGAGTGAAGGGTTGGTTAGTAAAGTATTGGAGATGATGAGGTAGAATAGTGGGCTTGAATAGTGAAATGGTGAATGAGTGGTAGAATGGTCTGAATTGATGGTGGGGAGTTTGTTGAGATTGAGTGGGGTTATTTGAGATGATGGGGTGTGGATTGAGATAATGGTTGAGTGTGGAGTAGTATAGTTTAGGTCGGGGCAATATGGTTGATTTAGGTTAGTTAGGTTGGGTGGTGCTGTGTGATTTGGGTTGGTTTAGGCTAGGTCAGGTTGGGTTGGTTAGGTCAGGTATAGGTTGGTTTAGGTTGGGTCAGGTTAGTTTAGGTTAGTTGGTCAGTTCAGTGGGTTAATTTGGGCTAGGTCGGGTCAAGATATAGGTTAGTTTGGTTTAGGCTGTGATTGGGTGGTATAGGTTAGTTTAATAGTTAGGTCAGGTGGTTGAGGTCCTTGTATATGTTGAGTGAAGTTTGTTAGGGTGGGTCAGGTCATTATGGTTGGTCAGGACGACAGTTGATTTAGGTTGAATTAGGTTGGTGGTCAGGTTAGTATAGTTTAGGTCATGGCAATATAAGTTAGATTAGGTTGGTTTGGTTAGGTCAGGTCAGTATAGTTTAGGTCAGGGCAATATAGGTGTTTTAGCTTAGTTTAGGTTAGGTCAGGTCAGGTCAGTATAGTTTAGTTTAGGCTAGGTCAGGTCAGGTTAGTATAGGTTAGGTCAATATAAGTTAGATTAGGTTAGGTCAGATCAGTATAGGTTAGGTTAGGTTTTGTTGGTGATTTAGAGTTTTTCTAACCAATTGCAACAACAACAAAACAAAAATAACAAATAAACAACAACAACAACAATAAACAACGACAAGAATTAAACAACAACAACAACAACAACACGTAACTTTCAGGCTAAATCTCTTACCACTTGAATATTAATCAGAGTAATCATCCCTTGGCCGGCAGGTGAGACGAGAACCAACACATTAACTTGATCAGTTGAAGTGTCCCTTTTAACAGATTAATTATTTAGATATGCAAAGTTGTGTGAGTGATAATGGACGCTTTGTGATTACTGGGTGTGTGTGTGTGTGTGTGTGTGTGTGTGTGTGTGTGTGTGTGTGTG